TTGGTCCAAAATGTGATTTCCCTATATAAACTATAGTAAAGTTTACCCCCTCCCCAGGGGGAAACGTGAGACCCCAGGGTCAAGAAATTCACAATTTTAGTAAAGCACCTTAAGACCCTTCTATCTATGAAGAGTATTTGATTCTACCAAATCTGGATCTTGAGAAGAAGATTTTTGAAATTTTAGTCAATTTTACCCTTTTTGGCCCCACCCCTCAGGCCCCTGGGGGCTGGGGACGATATAATTCACAATTTTAGTTGACCTTTGGCCATGAAAGGTTTCTGCAAAATTTCATTGAAATTGGTTTAGGGGTTTTGGAGAAGAAGTCAAAAATGTATTTTTTTTACGGACGCACGACGGACGACGCCGGACAAAAGGCAATCGCAATAGGTCACTTGAGACTTTGTCTCAGGTGACCTAAAAACAAATGCCAATGCAACCCTAAACAGACTATAATTTTTTTTGGCCTTATGTACATGTTAGTTATAATTGTTACATATGTTTTGTCATTAAGGATGTATTTTATTTATAAGTATTTAAACTCCCGTCTTCCGTATTGTTGATTGCATTAAATATTACATAATGAACATAATGTATCATGTTTTTTCTTGCCTTTTTAACCTGTACACTTGTACAATAAACACAATGCAAAATGTATGTAAAACTGTTACATACAAATTTATGTAAACATTCGATCCATGCATAAAACATAGTTTAATGGTGATATGTGAAGGAAAACACTATAGTGAGGCCGAAACGACTAAGGGGCCGGAACGACTAAGGGGCCGGACTACTAAGGACGGACCGGCTAGGGGCCGGAACTACTAGGGGGCCGGCCTACTAAGGACGGACCGGCTAGGGGCCGGGACTACCAGGGGGCCGGACTACTAAGGACGGAACGGCTAGGGGCCGGAACTACTAGGGGGCCGGACTACTAAGGACGGACCGGCTAGGGGCCGGAACTACTAGGGGGCCGGACCGGGAGAGGACGGAACGACTTGATACGGTTTGGCAGACCTAGATTTTGCTCTGATCTGTTTGCTATTTCGGTGATATGTGATGCATAATGCCTTAAACATATAATCTTCACCTACTAAACGCAGTTGTCGTTTTAAAATGTCATGGGAGGGTGAATGGTCACTTTGCTCATGATCATGTCCCGGTCTTCAGCACAGTGCCATGTTTGTTTTGTCATTTTCAAACATACTCATGAGCTTGATATTATGGTAAGCAAAAAATAAACCAAACAGCGGTGAATGATATCCGGAATTTGAGAACCGCTTACCTCCCTTCCCACAGTAATTATTTTTATCTCCACCTCATCCATAATGGCATCCTCGATATCCAGGGGTTACGCCTGGAAATCGAGGATGCCATAATGGGTACAGAACATGGACGTTTAAATTCGAAAAAAATATTCATTTTAAAATTGATGTGTTGGAGACAGTACATGAGGGAAGGTAGAACTAGTGCATGTTAGGTAATATTAAATGACATTTATATAATTTCAAAATCAAATTCAAAACTTTATCATAAGTTGCACATTTATAACTTCAGCATAGTTTGGTCAGAGACGTGGCTTTGAAAAATACTGAACTATTTACATTATAACATAGGACATGTATATCATGTTAAGAAAAGTTCATAGTTTGCTATCGGTTAGCTTATACTGTCAGCAAGCCCGGGCCCACTCTCCTCAGTTCTAAAGATTGATTAATAAATACGCAAGGGTCTAGTGTAACGAACGTTACCTACTCGCTCGGATTCCATGGTTTTTAAATGAAGAATGAGGATGATAAGGATGGAGCAGAGATTGGTGACAAAAACAACTCATTCTAAATAACATCGATGTCCTAGACAAAGAAAAACTATTCACGGAGACAGGGAGAACTTTAACCAGGGGGCCCTCCAGGAAACTCTACAAAAGATCATTTAGACTGTACAAATATGGTCAATTCTTAAGCAATAGAGTGGTGAATCTGTGGAACTCTTTAACAGACGAGGTAGTAAATTCCCCAACTCTAAACACCTTTAAGACTCGTCTTAACAACCACTGGAAGCAACACCCAGCAAAGTTCAAACCATCTTTTTATTAGACACTGTGTGACATTCTGATATGAACAGTCATACTGATAGTAGTGTGAACAGTGTATTTTAACCATACTTTTAACTATATAGGAGAGGAACTTTACTGGGAGTTACGTTACTCCATATCAAACTTACTACGCGTTAATGAAATAACATTTGTAAATAGCAACCATAAGTCAATAGTACGCGAAAGTACGTTATACTATTAACTAGAGAAGAAGATACATCTATACAAGCCCCGGCTTACCATTGATGTCATCTGAGCGAAACTGAGCGAAACAGGCAGATATAGATGTACGCGTGTATTGTGTGTCTACCGTATCGAACTTAACAAAGCACGTGGTGGCAAAAGGGTTTCCGAACTTACACCACAATTCGGCGATACAAGTTTCAAAATTTTCTTCACTATAACTCTTACATACTTTACAACCTACCTGTATCAATTGGAACGAATCATGAAGCTTTCCCCGTGATAAAGATGACACGTGGTACAGAACATACGTCTATCCCTTCCACTCAAAATCCTTCCATCTCCCCGGCATTTCTTTACGTGAGCCAGAGGAACTTATACAGCTCATAAATACCATCACTAAATGCCCTAAATAGACAAAGCGGAAAATGTTCAGCCACTAACTACCGTACGTGTTATCTACAAACATCTTTCCTTCAAACGGTAAGAGAGCCCCGAAAAAATGTGCCACAATGTACCCCGCCCCGCGATTTCTCTACAAAATTATCGACAAAATGCATAAATATGACTAGAAACATGGCATAGATGTTCAATAAAGTTTCCCAAACCCGAATTTGGAAGGATGGGCGACAGAGAATACTTAAATCGTTGGATTATTTAGCTAGACAAAACACGTCTTACCTGTCTGATATCGGGAGCCGAAGGTCAGGTATATCCTAGGACTTAGATATTGTCGGAAGGCTTGTTAACAGTGAGAGTCCACTATGGCACAATTTGGTAAATACATTTTAAAATACTCCTTTCTAGTATGTTCATTTAAAGGAAAGTGAAAGAAAAGTGTCCTTCGTATTCAATGACACTACATTGTTTACGTAGGCCTAGTCTTTGGTCCATTGGAATTCTATTCAGAGGCCAAGTGTACGTGACCATAGTGTGTTCACATTATCCGAATCTTTCGTAAAAATGCCTTGAATTCATGAAAAAACAAATCTGGTACATACTCTTCCTTTAGTTCTTTGTACAAAAATAGTTTGTTACTTTCGTCAACGATTTAAGTTTTAATAAAGAATCTTTTAGTTGTGACAGAAAGGCGGTTTTTGTCGGTAATGAATTCTGTCCTTCTTATAAATGCCGTTCTGACCACCATGCAGATATAATTCAGGATATCCATGACGCAAGCACCCTCTAACGAAAACGTAAGTAAGCATATGAGTTCCTGCCCGACGGGATCAAAACCAACCATCTATGTTGTGAAGCATATTTTGCTTTCGTCAAATAAGATCAGTTTTATTAAAAGTCGGTGGGCATTTTAAAAACAAATAACATAATTGTATAAGCCCTATCGAGCTTTTGACCGTTTTGATGGGTTTTTCATGTACTTTTGTGAAGTTAAAATGTTCTTTGTGATTGTAATTTATTGGCTTTGACGTTGTTGATGCCTTCGTGTGAATCAGGGTTAAAATTGATAATGTGTTCAAGAAATAATTATTAATAGAGTTTAATAACATGATTTCTGTGTCTTCTGTAGTTTTCCCATGTGTCATTGTTTCGGTTTTTGGTGTATTTGTTGTATATAAGGTGTGGCTTTCAATGCAGGGGAAGTTTTTCTTGCGATTTTGTTGTGATTTCATTGGTGCATGTTGGTTGATGGTGTTAGTCACTTTCGCTCTCTACATCCCTGGAATGTGTCATAACAAAATCGAAGGCTCAGTGTGATGTACATCACAAGAATCTCGCGGTCGCATAACGGTAAAACTTATTGGCTTTGAAGTCGGGCGTCGCTCCAGCCTAGTGAGTGGCCAGGGTTTTTAAACAGGACACCAATGCAATCAAATAGCTAGCCGCGTGCCCTAAATTTAGCTATGAAATAATCCAGGGGTGCAGAGAGCAAAAGTGCGTGTACCCCTGGAGTATCTAGGATGATGCCGGGGTGGCATTGAGGTCAAAGGTCAAATTAATTTTCCATGTTATAACTTCTGATTCGCTGAAGATACCTCAATGTAATTTTAAGGATATATGTAGGATGGCAAAGCGATGTGAAGGTACTGAGTGCGTACGCCCAAGGTCAAGGTAACATTGAGGTCAAAGGTCAAATTCACTTTCAAGGTCAAGCGAAATTTTAGGTAGTTGTGTCCCAAACATGATCTGTACACCCAAGGTCAAGGTCGGCACGTTTAAGTCCAAGGCAAAACTCTTTGTCTGGGCCATAACTTCTGACTGACCGTAAACAGATCCATGAAATTTTAGTGATATTTATATGTAGAATGGTAAGATGGTGTGCCCCATCTGTATGTCAAGGTCAAGGTCACATTGAGGTCACATTTTTTGACACACTGAAGATTTAGGGTTGGATAAGACAGGTTCAACTTATATCACCATATTTCTTTCTTTTATTAACATCACACAACATTGAGCAAGCAATATGCATGCCTGTACTCGCACACATTTTTACTCCAACTTGAGTCCAAGCCCGGTGAACTTTTCAGGTGAGCATACCCAGTATTCCATCAATTTTTACTGATTTTCTTGTTTGAGTTGAGAAGTATTTTGATAACTGGAGTAAGAGTTTGGTGATGAAATACGAAATCCAACGAGCACCTGTTCGACCCAGCCTCTATCTCAGCAATGTATTCTTCTTTAACCAGTCTTTGAACCAATGAAAACAGCTAGGTGAAATATTTAAATCAATAGAATTTAATATCAAGCATGAATTCCATAAAGATGATATATACAATGACTTAAAATTCGGCCACTATCACACGTACAGCCTTCAATAAGGTACAACATTCGGTCACTATCACACGTACAGCCTTCAATAAGGTACAACAACATTCACCCCTAAATACACATTGATATCATTTGTTAGTTTGCTGTCTTTGAAATGGTAATAAAAAAATGACAATTATCTTTGTCTGTTGTCAATTGTTCCTCAGGTCAAAGGAACCCAAGAAATATGGTTTACATGTACAGTATATATTTATAGGGAGGATATTTCTAGGGTTTTCCTTGGATGACTAAGGGAAGAATTCTTCAAAATTTGGCTGGACACCCAGGGTAATTCTGGTAGCAATATCACATTTACCTTTTCAGGCCGACAACTGTATTCCATCTTTTCATATTGAAGAGTTATCTGCTCTTGATTGTTACGTCATTTGTTTGTGAGAGTAATGTCATCAATATCTGCTCACAAGAGAAGATAACTCTGCAACACGCAAAGATGGAATACATAGTTATGGAGTATTGAGATTTTAATTCAGGGTCTAAAAAGTCAAATCATTGTAGCACGAGTGCATTTGTCTCTTTATATCCAGAAATTGTTTAGGTTAAAACCTACAAACTGTGTTCTTCTCTTCACGCTAATTAGCAACTGTACACATGGTAAAAGTAGGGATATCAACAGTTTCCATGTTAGGGTCAAAGAACTACATTTTCAGGGTCAGGGCTGAACCTAAGGGTGAATCCTAGACGCATAGTGTATCCATTTTATCATGACAAGCAATTATTTATTTTATTATTTATGTGGTAATAGTGTCCGAAATGTCCCTATTGGGCCCTGCCCTGTGGCTCCAGTGGGTCCCCCATTTGGTAATAAAACAATAAGTTCTATTTGCCCAACAATGTTAAATTTGTCAAAATTCATTCAGCAGTTCTGGATTAGAAGTCTTATAAAGGAAAAGTTAATGACAGACAGTGGACCACAGCATAAACTCACTTGATCCTTTGGGCCAGGTCAGCTACTTTGATAAATACACCTTTTTCACAGGTCACCTGATAAAATACTGATACCGACCACTCTTAATGCCTAAAGTTTTTACTCATCATCAATCATTGTAGTCTCGCTGATTCAAAGGAATTTTCTTTTTTATCATACTTCACCATGACAGCACATCACAGTTTTTTTTATCAGCCTTTTCTCGAATTACTCATTATATATAAAATTAAACACCTTATTTTTTCGTGACACATTCATCGGCAAATCAGGATTGTCTGGAATAGGAGCAGCCATGGGTTGTGGCTTTCGTTAAAAGCTGCAGGGCTTGAAATTAATTTTAATACCACTAGTCAATTGGGTTTATAGTTTCCAATTTTCCAAGTCCATGTACGACTTCCACTAACCCAATTCTACTCAACAAGATAAGGAATATCAAATTTTGACTAGCCAGTCAGACTAACAGTTTTTAGAACCACTACACCAGCTGGAGATTTCACTAGTCTCAGACTATCGTGCTACCCTTATTGTCTAGTCCTGAATCACTAGTCTCAGACTATTGAGCTACCCTTATTGTCTACTCCAGCTGGTGATTTCACTAGTCTCAGACTATTGAGCTACCCTTATTGTCTACACCAGCTGGAGATTTCACTAGTCTCAGGCTATTGAGCTACCCTTATTGTCCAGTCCTGAAGCCAATGGGTTTCCACAATAAATTCTAAAATTAACATCACATAATACACATACAATGTCCTATCTTTCATGATGGATTTGTTGGCAAATCATCTGGAATTTGAGCATCAACGAATCCTATTTTATCATTGTCTAGTTGATCTTTATTCACGTAGAATGTCCAGCGATACGTTGGCCCGAGTTCAATGTCAAGCTGGTTAACTGTCCATTCTGGAATATCCTTCCTGGGCGTGCTGAAAAAAAGAAAGAGATAAATTACTTGAATGCTACCATTTCAACCTTGGACAAGGGAGAGAACTCCAGGCAAAGATTCAAATATATATTTCTGATTTATTGTTAAATCATGGCATGCAAAGGACATGGGGCATCATGGGTCATTTTCGGCCTCAAAAAGAAGAAAAAAAATTAAGATTTACATTAATTTACCTATTTCTTTTATAAACATCATATTGGTTAAATTTGGGTTTCTTTCCTGGTACAGATTTTTTAATTGTGCATGAATAGATGCCCCACCATACCAACAAAATTGCGTTGCTATGCAGAAATAGCCAAAATAGGGTGTTTTTGGACAGTTAGTATGCAGGATGAAAGCCTCCACACAAGACAACTAAAACCCCTTTCTACATGACCACTGGTATGACAATGTTTAAAAATGCAAACTATTTATTTGGTTGGTTCTGTGGGAGGTTTATCCCTTTCACCCCTATGTAACTTTAGTAGACTCTACCATGCATTGTTCTGGATGAGTCCATTATGGTCTACAGTGGTGAAAGGGTTATACAGCTTTTTGTTAATTTACTTTGAAATGGACAATTATCAATGTATTAAATAGCTAACGAAAGACGATATTCATGCATTTTATTGTGAAAAATGATGGTTTATACCTCACTATGTTACACCATATCTCCTACTCCGTCTTTGCGTATTGCAGAGTTATCTTCTCTTGTGAGCAGGTATTGATTGTTACGTCATCTGTTTGTGAGAGTAACGTCATCAATTTTTGAGAAAACAACGTAATTTTCTCACACAAACCAATGATGAAACAATCAATACCTGCTCACAAGAGAAGATAATACGGAATACCAGTTGTTGAATGAAGTTTTATATTTGTGTACTTCATTTATTCCAGATTACGAATATAAACAACTAATTGAAAATCCCTGTTGAGGCTGAAAACGACCCTTACCGCCACTAGTCCTTCATTTTCACGAGGATTTGAATTTGGTGGATAGAAAATGTTTGTGAAAGTAACAATAGCTTTATAAATTATGTTCCTGATTGACATGTAATAAAATTAGTAACAATAGCATTATAATTATGTTCCTGATTGACATGTAATAAAATTAGTAACAATAGCATTATAATTATGTTCCTGATTGACATGTAATAATATTAGTAACAATAGCATTATAAATTATGTTCCTGATTGACATGCAATAATATTGGTAACAATAGCTTTATAAATTATGTTCCTGATTGACACGTTATAATATTAGTAACAATAGCATTATAATTATGTTCCTGGTTGACATGTAATAATATTGGTAACAATATCTTTATAAATTATGTTCCTGATTGACACGTTATAATATTAGTAACAATAGCATTATAAATTATGTTCCTGATTGACATGCAATAATATTGGTAACAATAGCTTTATAAATTATGTTCCTGATTGGCATGTAATAATATTAGTAACCTACCGTAGATTCATCATTGTCACTCCTCACTAATAAACAAATCTCAAGAAATGTACCGGTATGTGACTTATACTACCGGATTTGAATTTGGTGGATAGAAAATGTTTGTGAAAGTAACAATAGTTTTATAAATTATGTTCCTGATTGACATGTAATAATTTTAGTAACAATAGCTTTATAAATTATGTTCCTGGTTGACATGTAATAATATTAGTAACAATAGCATTATAAATTATGTTCCTGATTGACATGTAATAATATTGTTAACAATAGCTTTATAAATTATGTTCCTGGTTGACATGTAATAATATTAGTAACAATAGCATTATAAATTATGTTCCTGATTGACATGTAATAAAATTAGTAACAATAGCATTATAATTATGTTCCTGGTTGACATGTAATAATATTGGTAACAATAGCCTTATAAATTATGTTCCTGATTGCCATGTAATAATATTGGTAACAATAACTTTATAAATTATGTTCCTGATTGACACGTTATAATATTAGTAACAATAGCATTATAATTATGTTCCTGGTTGACATGTAATAATATTGGTAACAATAGCTTTATAAATTATGTTCCTGGTTGGCATGTAATAATATTAGTAACCTACCGTAGATTCATCATTGTCACTCCTCACTAATAAACAAATCTCAAGAAATGTACCGGTATGTGACTTATACTACCGGATTTGAATTTGGTGGATAGAAAATGTTTGTGAAAGTAACAATAGTTTTATAAATTATGTTCCTGATTGACATGTAATAAAATTAGTAACAATAGCATTATAATTATGTTCCTGGTTGACATGTAATAATATTAGTAACAATAGCTTTATAAATTATGTTCCTGGTTGGCATGTAATAATATTAGTAACCTACCGTAGATTCATCATTGTCACTCCTCACTAATAAACAAATCTCAAGAAATGTACCGGTATGTGACTTATACTACCGGATTTGAATTTGGTGGATAGAAAATGTTTGTGAAAGTAACAATAGTTTTATAAATTATGTTCCTGATTGACATGTAATAATATTGGTAACAATAGCTTTATAAATTATGTTCCTGATTGGCATGTAATAATATTAGTAACCTACCGTAGATTCATCATTGTCACTCCTCACTAATAAACAAATCTCAAGAAATGTACCGGTATGTGACTTATACTACCAGAAAGTCTTCCAACAGAACTGTTCAAAATTTAATCTGATTTAATTTGGAAAAACTCAGGTCGAAAGTATTAATGGCGAAAATATTCCTATTTAGCAATATACCCAACACAATGTATTGCTCTTTGGAAGGATTCCTTCTTCTCCCACCCTTCACAGGTGTGTCTCTCGTTTGAACCAGGAAAGATCAGCTTGTCAAATGAGGACGACTACCCCCCCCCCCCCCCCCCCCCCCCCCCCCACACACACACACACACATACACACACACACACACACATTTACAGTTAAGTTACCAAATGTACATACTCCATAGTGACCGGAGGTCTCGTCGCCCAGAGGTACAAATATGCCGAGGATCCCTTTGATCCAGTCAAAGGAATCTTCATCTGAAAAAAACAAAACATTATTTATGTTTTGTGTTAATTAACAATAAGATTACAATATTTGCTTTACAATCACAGTTGATCAGAAAATTTAATTTACAAGCACAGTTTAGAATATACAAGGATAGTTGATCAAAAAATTGAAAATACTAGCACTGTTTAGAAAATTGAATATACAAGGAGAGCTGAGAGTTGATAAGAAAATAGAATATACTGTACAAGGACAATTAATAAATAAATTTAACTAACAAGCCCAGTTTAGAAAATGTTATATACAAAAAACAGTTGATCAGAAAATTAAATTGACAAGCACTGTTTAGAAAATTGAATATACATGAAGAGCCGAGAGTTGATAAGAAAATTAAACTAACAAGCACAGTTTAGAAAATTTAATATATAAAAACAGTTGATCAGAAAATTAAATTGACAAGCACTGTTGATTAGAAAATTTAATATACAAGCACTGTTGATTAGAAAATTTAATATATAAGCACTGTTGATTAAAAAATTTAATTAACAAGCAGTTTAAAAAAAATAATTTACAAGGACAGTTGAACAGAAAACTTAATTGACAAGGACAGTTGATCAGAAAACCTCATTGACAAGCCGTTCAGAATCTTTATATACAAGGACAATTGCTTCTGACCAAATATTTTAATTCTAGGCCTCTTGATTATTCAGAAGACATTGTTATGACAGACAGCACAAAAAAAAAGGCATGAAATAAGCTAACTTGTCCAATAACTGCTCAAAATCCCAGAATTGATCTACACCCTCCTTCAGCATTTCAAAATCTGAGTTTAAGATTGATTTTTTTCCACTGCAACATTTACCTTGGCTTTGCCATCCAACACATCAACCTTGTTGTCGTTTGGATCATACGATATATGGTGCATCTTCAGCGGACTGCCCAGCCTTTCCATGACCACATCATAACCCTGCAGTATCCCCATGGCCTGGACCACGTACGGTTCACCCTTGATGTTAGCTGAAACATTAATTTAGACAGTTCGGAATTCCTTGTGATACAGGTAAACCTCAATATATAGTGCTCATGACTTGTTAGCTAGGATAACGTTGTTTTCTGACGAGATATTTATTTATATATCGCGTCGTCAGAGCAGAGGAGGCCAGGTATTAATATTTAATATTAGTACAAATCACTTATATCAGACCTGCTAACCTCGGAATTAATCATTTAATATTTGGGTTCGTGGATGTTCTGCTGACATTAGAGCTAATTAATGTGCAAATAAGTGTTAATGCTGGAAAACCACCTGCAGTTTACTTGACTGTATGGATCGGAATATTCAGTTTACTTGACTGTATGGATCGGAATATTCAGTTTACTTGACTGTATGGATCGGAATATTCAGTTTACTTGACTGTATGGAATATTCAGTTTACTTGACTGTATGTAATATTCACAGTTAACTTGACTGTATGGATCGGAATATTCAGTTTACTTGACTGTATGGAATATTCACAGTTTACTTGACAGTATGGATCGGAATATTCAGTTTACTTGACTGTATGGATTATTCAGTTTACTTGACTGTATGGAATATTCACAGTTCACTTGACAGTATGAATCGGAATATTCAGTTTACTTGACTGTATGTAATATTCACAGTTTACTTGACTGTATGGATCGGAATATTCACAGTTTACTTGACTATGGAATATTCACAGTTTACTTGACTGTATGGAATATTCACAGTTTACTTGACTGTATGGAATATTCACATGAAAAAGTGGTGAGGAATACTTAATCTCCAAAAAAGTATATAACAAGAACTCCACGGAAGTGGATGTGTCGCCTACGCAGGACTTGCTTAGCACTGCATGAGGTTTGAGTTTAATCGGCCCAAGGAAACTCAAGTTAACGCACGAAAACCGATTTTATTTATAGTAACAGTGACCTTGACCTTTGGACCTGAAAAGCAATCCCAAGCAAGCACTTTTGGTAAGGAAGCACTGCATGAAGTTTGAGTTTGATCGACCCATAGAAACTCAAGTTATCGCACAAAAATAGATTTTCTATTTATAGTAACAGTGACCTTTGACCTTCGGACCTGAAAAGCAATCCCAAGCAATCCCTTTTGGTAAGGAAGCTCTGCATGAAGTTTAAGTTTGATCGGCCCAAGGAAACTCAAGTTCTCGCACGAAAACCTCTGTGCGGACAACGCTGCCGCCACTTCCGACATAGCAATACCTATGTGTCACCAGCTTTTCGCAGGCGACACAAAAAGGAGAAAGTTACTTTTTGGAGGTTGGAAAGCAAATTATTACCTCACTGCCTTTTAGTTTTGCAAACTTTTGGTCAACTGAATCACTACTTATTAATGTCATACTCATGAGACAATCATTGCTTCACATAAGTTCTATAAATTAAAACCTAGTGCAGGGGAACAGGATTGGGTCGATCATCAACAACCAGGTATACAATTAGCTCAATTGTTAGAGCGGGCGTCTAAAGTTTGAAGGGTCCTCGGTTCGAACCCTGGTCTGGCAGTTGCATTTCTCTATCTCCTGTTACAAAATTGGCGACCTAGGCAACCCTTGTTTCAAGCATTGGGAGTACACTTAGCAAGGAGATGCCCGAACTTGGGTTGTAAATAGTTGTCTTCGGGGGCAATGACTTAGAAAAAGGAGGGAGGAATGTAGCGGAACTGGACTGGGTCGATCATTGGTGAACAGGTAGCTCAATTGGTAGAACGTCTGTCTGGAGTTCGGACGTTCCCGGGTTTGAATCCCAGTCTGGTGTTGCATTTCTTTTTCTCCTGTTGCACTAGCATTGACACTGGTATTGCTGTAATATATACAATTTTATTAAAATGTCATTTAAGGGAAGGTTCAGCCCAGGCAATCCTTTGAAAGTGGTGACAGTGGCTGAGAAATCTGACGTTACACGCTTCAAGCCATCATAACTATGGTGATTCCAACGTGGGCCGAACTTATGTACCTGAGACTGTCTATCTGATAATATAACTTACATAACTCAGAGCACATTCAGCAATCCAATCTCCCCGGGTGGAAAAAAAGTATAAATTATTTTTCAGTTTGTCCATTTGTTATTATTTAATGACACGTATGGAATTTCTCTTTTCAGATGGTATGATATGCATGTGACAGATTATAATCATACGATTATGGCCGAGCTATGCGCTAGAGGGAATTTCTCTTTAGCTCAGTGGTAGAGTGTCCGACTTGGACGTCTGGGTTCACGGGTTTGATCCGCGATGAAAGCACACAGTGACATACTCTCTTTCCTGTTACATGCATAGATTTCAATGACTGCCAGGCTGGCTACAACAACTTTAATAGAGATGGGCCCATGCTGGCTACAACAACTTTAATAAAGATGGGCCCAAATTGCCATGATCTCCCCTTTTAGAGGTAATAAATAAAGTGAGACATCAGAAGTGGGTTTATTCATCTAGACTGTTATATGGTATTGATGTAACGTCAAACTCCTGTGATCCGACCGGGAAAACCGAAAAAGACATCGTAATAGTGGTTCGTCCGAGGAATAGTACTAATATTAATACCCAGCCTCCTCTGCCCCGGCCGCAATACATAAAAAAAAAATCTTGTCATCAGAAAGCTACGTTATCAGGTCCAGTACACTCTGTATAGCTGTAAAGACCTATAATAGCTTTATTGACCTATCTGAAATAGGTATTTTGAGCTATTTTCATGTGATTTTCTTTTTTAAGGAAAACGAAACAATGTTGCTTTTAAAAGAAGATTGTATCATTACATGTATGTTGATAACAAAAGACATTAAATATGAATATTCTTTTTAAAAAATAATGATGTCAAAAAAATCGGAAATTTTATATTTATGAACAAGAGGCCCTATGGGCCTGCATCGCTCACCTGGTATTAATCTCACAATTGTAACCTTAAAAGCGGAATCAAATACAGCTACAGGCAAAATATAACTGTATTGACTTAAAGTCATTCAGAATAACCTGTTAAACGATTAAAACACATTTGACCCCTGTGACCTTGAAAGTCAAACATGAACATTAAGTTGAACAAACTTCAGTCCTTCCTCCCAGAATGCAACTTGCCAAATATCACCACCTTATACCTTTTGTTTATTGAGAAGATGACTTTTAAAGATTTATGCACTATGGACCAGATGTGACCATGAAAGTGTGTCTAGGTCATTCACATCAACAAGCAATCACACTGTATGCTTTAGTTATTCAGAAAAAGTCGTTTAAAGATTTCAACATATTTGACCTCTGTGACCTTGAATATGGGCAAAGGTCATTCATTTGAGCAAACTTCATAGCCCTTCATGCCAACATCCTTCTGGCCAAATATCATCACCCTTGACCTTTTGGTTATACAGAAGAAGTCGTTTAAAGGTTTTTAAGACAATTGACACCTTTGACCTTGAATATGAGTGAAGGTCATTTGTTTGAACAAACTTGGAAGCCCTTCATGCCTGTAGAGAGAACTCAACTCTTCGAATGGCGGAATAAGACTGACTTTATTACCAACGCTATTGGAGAGTTTCACATCAAGGGCGATAACTCATAATGGCTTAACCAATACTGTTACATCTCCCTAACAAGTTTATATGATGTAATAAACGGACAGAATGTAATTACTTTTAAAGTCAATAAAATAAGGTTTTACTTATTCTCACAGTATAATTAAAATACATTCAAATTTTAGCACAGTCTCTTGTTGTAATGTAAATACCGCACTAGAAACATTAACTAGTAGAACTTGAATTAAACCCACACAAAATTACAGTCACTGTCTCTATAGCACCCTAAATCTATAATGTGAAATTAGCTGTCCTTAAATCGTGGGGGTACTTTTATTTCGCGACCGCTGACACGACTAAATTTCACATTCTGGACCGATGCACTATCAGCACATTTTACGTTTTTGTTCACATTCACGACTGATGGACTTTCCGTGCACTTTGACTCATTTGACAGTTTGATATAATTTGACGGTGTTACGTCATCACTTATGACATCATCGATTGGTATGGATTTCTGAGTGGTGATGTCTGCAAAGTTCTCCTTGGTATGAAACAAGTCTCTCCTGTTCCTCCTGACTTTTCCTCCTTCATGTTCCACAATGTAGGATCTAGGAGTGGATGTTTTTTCTACAACTTTACCTGGAGCTAATGAAGCTTGGTTTACGTTTGGTGGAATAAACCGGATATTGTCTCCAACATGTAAGGGTGGTAAGGAATGCGTTCCTCTGTCAAAATATACCTTCTGGCGTGCTTTCTGCTCCTCCAAAGATGACTTGATGGCACAAGGTTCGAAACCTAATGGGTTTAACTGAGTCCGCTTAACAGGTAGCGTTGTCCTTGTAGCCCTGCCTAAGAGCAGCTGTGATGGTGAGAGTTCTATACCAGTTATCGGGGTATTCCTCATTTCCATAAGGGCCAAATAAGTGTCCTTGCCGTCATCTCGAGCCTTTTTGAATAGTCGCTTCACAGTTTGAACAAAACGTTCTGCGAGTCCATTACTTTGCGGGTATCTCGGAGACGAAGTAGTGTGTTCGATGAGGTATGCTCGTGAAAAGGACTTGAACTCATAACTCGCGAACTCTGGGCCATTGTCACTGATAATTTCTTCAGGAATGCCATATCTGTCAAACTGCTGCTTCAAAACGTTGATTACAGTTGCTGACTTTCCATCTGACACATTGTTTACCTCGATGAATTTCGAAAAGTAGTCAACAGTTACAAGGTATTTCAGGCCATCCAATACCATCATATCGGCCGCGATCTTTTGCCACGGCCTATCAAGCGTCTCGTGTGGAATCAACGGTTCCTTTGGCTGCGCGTTCCAATAACGATTACAGATGTGGCATTGCGCCACCACATCCTCTATCTGTTTTGTGATTCCAGGCCAGAACAATGCAGTTCTTGCTCTCTGAATACACTTAGTCTTGCCTAAGTGACTGCTATGCAATGTCTTCAACATTTCAGGTCTCAGTGTTGTCGGTATAATGATTCGATTGCCTTTTAACAAAAGTCTGTCCACTACACTGATCTTGTCCCTAAAATTCCAATAGGGTGTTAAATCCGGGTCAAGGCTATGCTTGTCGTGAGGCCATCCTTCCATCACGGTCTGTTTCAGTTTGGCTAATACTCGGTCGCGGTCCATTTCTCTCGTGAAGTGTCTGGTCTTTTCCAGACTTATGGGTACAGTGCCAACCACGTGTACTTCAAACTCATCCACGTCATTCTCCATATCATGAATCGGTGCAACCGAACTACTAATAGTATCGGCAATGTACAACTCTTTACCTGGGCGGTAAGATACAACCAAGTCGCATTGCTGTACTTTTAGCATCATACGTTTGAGTCTAGGAGGGGCACTCGACAATGGCTTTTTGAACAAGCTCTCCAGGGGCTTATGATCAGTTTCAACCTGAACAGTCTTTCCATACACATATTCGTGGAATTTCTTCAGCCCATACACAATTCCTAGCATTTCCTTCTCAATCTGAGCATAGTTCTTTTCGTCCCTGTTTAATGTTCTTGATGCGTATGCGACAGGTTGTTGTTCCTGTAAGATGCATGCTACCAAACCGTATGACGATGCATCAACGGATAGCTTTATTTCCTTTCCAACATCATAGTAGCTAAGTACAGGTGCCGTAGTAATCGCCCTTGAACTTTTGGTTTTACAGAAGTTGTTTTAAGGTCTTTAACATATTGGCCATTGTGACCTTGAATATGTGTCAAGGTCATTCATTTGAATAAACTTGGTAGCCCTTCATCCCAGCATGCTACCGGCCAAATATCATCACCCTTGGCATTTTTTTGAGTATTCAGAAGTTGTTTAAAAGGTTTTAAACATATTTGACCCCTGTGACCTTGAATATTTGTCAAGGTAATTAATATGAACAAACTTGGTAGCCCTTCATCCTAGCATGTTACTGGATAAATATCATTATTCTAGGCCTCTTAGTTATTCAGAATAAGCTGTTTGAATTTTTTTAAGACAATTGGCCCATGTGATCTTGAAAATGGATGAAGGTCATTCATTTGAACAAACTTGGTAGTCCTTCATCCCAGCATGATATAAATAGCATCACCCCGGGCATTTTGGTTATTCAGAAGAAGTTGTTTAAAGTTTTTAACATATATATTCGACTCCTGTTACATTGAAAATAGGTGAAGGTCATTTATTTGAACAAACTTGGTAGCCCTTCTTTCCAGTTTGCTTCTGGCCAAATATCATCACCCTATGCCTCTTGGTTATTAAGAAGAAGTTGTTTAAAGAGAAATATTGACGCCGGACGGACGCCGCACCACAGCATAATCTCACTTGGCCCTTCGGGCCAGGTGAGCTCAAAATGAAAATAAATATCTGACTGTATGCTTTTTGTAGTCAACGTTACCATAAACAACATTGTTTTATGCGACTTTGCTTTAATTTAATGAAAATTGAAATCTGAGAAAATAAAGCTCAATACAGCTTAAATGTATAACTTTGTTAGGTGAAACTACTGGACCTGGTTATCACAGCTACCGAGGAACAAACCTGAACCTTTAGTAAATCGACCTATGGAAAGAAAACAGTTTAGTGTTGCTGGTTTCTAACCTTGACTAGACTCTCTTCTGTATATCTGGTATCCAATGTAGGAGGCTGCAAAACATCCAACAGAGGCTATACCGAGCCTTCCTAGGCCGCCTAACATCGACATTGTAGCTCTAGATCTGCTTGTTTTGACTTTGAAAGTATTTGATAGACCCAGATCGACAAGGGGCAGTGGTACATAGCGGATAATCGGTCATCGGCGGAGGGTGAGGACAAAACCCGGAATGCACTCAGGCGTGAAGATTATTTTGTTGATTTATTGTATATATTAGGCTGTATCTCCTATAATATATCATGGATTTTCATTCGAATACCAGCCTAGGAAAGATAATTTTATACCTGTCACAATGATATAAGTTATGCGTACCATTATTTAATATTGGAAGTGAAAGTGGTGGCCGGAATGAACCACTATGAAATAAAAATGGCAATATTTTCAACTGTTTTCGTTCTAATAAATACTCATAACTCAAAAAGTACTGAACCGATTTTTGTTCGGAGACCACTCTGGTCAAGGGAATTTTGCACTTGTTAATGTTATACCAACTGTTAAATCACATCTTTCATATTAATCGCAAAAGTGGTGGCCGGAATGAATCGAAATCGCTTGAAAAATGACGAAAAAAGTATAACTCTCTCGTAACTTTCTGTCTTTTTTTACCCATTACTCGTTAATCGCAGAACCGATTTTTGTTCGGTGACCACTCTAAGCAAGATAATTTTATAATCTTTAAGCTGATATAACTTTTATTAATATACATTACAAACTCGATGCAAAAGTGGTGGCCGGAATGAACCACTATGTACGTAAATTTCTACATTATCGGGTATGCTAAAACAACACAAGCTAAACAATCGGTAGTGCAATACAAGGGAAATACAAGGGAAGTAACTCGAAATGAAAAACGGATTACACGTAGAACTTTTAGTCATTCTTACAGGCGAAGACACAGTTCTGGTAAACGGACTGGTAAATCGTGCGCAGCGGCACGGACAGGTAAATCGTGCGCAGCGGCACGGACAGGTAAATCGTGCGCAGCGGCACGGACTGGTAAATCGTGCACAGCGGCACGGAAAGGTAAATAGTGCGCAGCGGCACGGACAGGTAAATCGTGCGCAAGGATTACTTACTCGTTCACACAGAGTAGTAATTTGTGCGCAAGGATTCGTATATGGTTTTTTTTTTTTTTTTCAAAGTATTTATCACATTACAATAATATATACATTTCATTATGCATAATGAATTCCACTTTCACACATACATTCATACTAAATCAATTTTGCTCTTCTTGTAGGTGACATTTTATTTTTTGTAGTGTTATAGTAGAAAGGAAAGAAAATCAGATAAGAGAAACAAGAAAAACAAAGAAATATAAGAAATTATGACAGTTAAGTGGACAAAAAGATAGACAGAAAGACAGACAGAAAGTCAGACAGACAGACGGAAAGATAGACAGACAAGTGGAAAAGTACCAGTATTAAACAAACCAATGTAAAGGATAGAAGTCTGGTAATATATATAGGTGTCAGTAGCTAAGTAATTCAAATAATATGTTTCGATTTTGTCTCTTTTTTCAAATAAATGTAAATAAGATCAAAACATATAATTGACAAGTTGAAGGTTTTTTTTAGTAAATGTTAATACGGTACATACACTACACAAGTGTTCAATCAAATTTAACATATTGTATAAGAAAAAGATTTCTTTCCAAATGTCAAATTCAGAAAATAATTGAAACTATTGTAAAATGTGTGTTTTAAAAAAAATATGTACGATGGCGTTGTTGAGATATCAAAATAGCGCTATATGCCTAAGTGTTAACGGGAGAGAGATACAGGCTGGCCCTGTTGGCTTGTTGTTCATAAGATAAAAAAGAAATCCTGTATTTACCCCTTCCTACAAATTTTCCAAGATGGCGGCGCCCATGAGCTGGAGCATGAAGAAATATTGCATTTATGCTTTCAGGTGATAGTAATTAACCTAGCTGACGTTGTAGTATTCCGGTACCAAAATGGAATATTATTTTAATGTTTGATAAATTAAGGCGTTTGATTTGTTGTTGTTTTGTTCCAAAAATCTAAACTCGCAATTGTGATAAGGAGGGGGAGGACACTGGGACCCGGCACGGGGATATCCTGATTGTTTGGAGCTACCGTGATGTGTAGGGAGTGATATTAGTCGTTTTCTCCTGTAAAATTATAAAGAGCGGAGTCAGGTGTATCCGGATACCTAAGGAAAAATTGGTGTGATGAGCGAAGATAGTCAGCTAAAACTGAAAATCATCGCTGATTCGGTCGTCTGTATATGGTCAGCTATCTATAGCTACTGCTCTATACAACACAAGGATTTGTAGCCGAAATGTGGCGACAGTAATTTTACACTTTGTTAGAGAAAATATTCATACCTATATTTCAGTTGTTTCATTTCTCACTCATTTGACTAGATACAGCTAGCTAGTACTAATATTAATACCCGGCCTCACAATACATACAAAAATCTCTCTTCGTCAGAAGCTACATTATCGTAGCTAGGTATATGCCATTTCCCAAATCAAAACATTGACTCGTGTAGTTGTTTCAACTCTGGTATAGCCCTCACATGCACAAAGAAACTGTTTTTGTAGACTAGGCTTGAATTGGTATTGTTTCGTTAATTGGACGGTGCTTTCCCAGGTTGACACTCTGGTATCCTTCACAGCGTACACATCTTTCGTTGGTAATCTATGTCAGATATTGAGAAGGCAGCAGTGCTGTCACCAACAGTAACCCCTCAACCACTTTGAATGGGAAAATCAGTCGCAACTCCTATCTCCTGATATGTTTGACGGTCCAAATCCAATTACATGTTACATGGTACCTCGGTCTCTTGAGAGATAGTCTCCGCTAATGAAACATGTTGCTCACCATAATGATAATAATAACTTGAGGTTCTTATATACCGCTTTATCACAACCTTACTTAGTTCATAGGTCGTCTCAAAGTGATTCACAAAATATTATCCGTGGTTATCTGATATTGTGATACTTTAATCATTGTGTATCATTTTGCATGTTTTCCCCTGTATTGCTTATTCGTTATACACTAATGATATATAGAGTGTGGGATTTTACAGAGTTTTCTCATAGACTTTAATGGTAAAACAATGTACTGCCAACCCTTATAATTAGAGTTAAATGAAAAAAGGTTGATTGATCATTAAAGTATCCTTCGTGTATCACAATACAGGCGAACAAAACTGATACACAAGAAAGTATCACGATACGATACGGTACGATATATTGTTGTCGCCCTAGTCATATCCTGCTATAAAGCATGAAATGAGTTCCATTGTTTTCAGATACCATATTCGGTGCCTAAGAGTCGTGGGTGCAGGTCGGTCGGTACACCTCCCCAACAGCAGGACTTACAGCGCCAAGGCTCCCAGGAATATCCTGAGTCTACATGACAGGGGCATCTTTCAGAATGTCTATCCGAGTGGCAGGTATGGTATTGAGTACAATATGTAGAACTTCAGCAATCGTGAAACAATTGTTCTCAGCAAATAACACCTTGAGGGTACAGCACGTGGGTGTGCAGTATTTATTAGTGTATCGTGTACTAGCCTGCTGGCAAATTAAACAAATTCTATGCATAGCTGTCAACACTCCGTCATTTGGAGGGAGACTCCCTCATTTTGACCAAAATTTACCAATCTCCCTCATAATTCCATCATTCAAGTTAACATCCAAACTCACACAAACTCAAAATCTACATCCTGTAGTCTAATTATCTCTTATTCAGTTACTGCAGGGTGTGTGTAATGCATGATCATAACAGGTGTGCCTGAATCAAATGAATGCTTTTTGGAGTTATTTTGATACATAAAAAGGGAAAGATAATCAGTCGCATTTCATGCACTCTTTCCCTCATTAGAAATGTGGAATGAGGGAGATCTCCCTCTTTGAGGTTTTAGAGGCTGACACCTATGTATCTTTCCTACCTACATGTATATAAACTGTAATACAGGAAACTTTTGCCCAATCAAATATTTGCCCTTCATCGGTAAACTGTATGTTTGTCCAGTGTTAATGTTCTCCCTTCATATGTAATTATTACTACATATATGGTATGGTATGTACAAGTGTTCACTGTAACGATGAAATTCACCCTTATTACGAAAAGTTGGGGCAAAACTTTTCTGGTACACAGAATCAGGAAGTGTTTGAAATATTCCATTACCTTGAAATAAAATCTGCTATCCCTGGGTGTTGGCCGTGGCTATAAGTGGAATTGTACACATCTGAATATATGTTGCATATATATATAGTATTTGCACTAGAATGCAATTTGACAAGGAGTTTCTCGAGAGGTCAATAACTGATGCATGAAACTGAAAAGAACATTTTTAGATTTTTACCTAATTTAGACTTTCCATTTATGTCAAAATCTTCAGAATTATTTTTGGATAAAAGCAATAAAGTTCATAGTATTCTACTCTTGAGGATTGTGATAATTAACTTGCAGGTTCTTGATGAGTCAAACGTTGTTCAATAGAGGTAAAAAAATAATTTAAAAAAATGTAAAATTTCACCTGTTTTTGACCAAACTAAAGTTTAAATATTCTCCAAATAGGGGAAAACTAAACGTAATATTCATTGGCTCTACACCTCAATGTATGTTCTCCAAATAGGTTAGCTATGCCTTCCTCAACAGATCTTGTTTTTTCTCTCCAGTACCCCAGAACTAGTTAAACGGTTATCAAAGCCAGTGACAGTTTACTGCGGATTTGATCCCACAGCTGAAAGTCTTCACATTGGGAACCTTCTGGCAGTTGTTGCACTACTTCACTGTCAGCGAGGAGGACACAACCCTATAGGACTGGTAAGTTACTGTCAGTGAGGAGGACACAACCCTATAGGAATGGTAAGTTACTGTCAGTGGGGAGGACACAACCCTATAGGACTGGTAAGTTACTGTCAGTGAGGAGGACACAACCCTATAGGACTGGTAAGTTACTGTCAGTGGGGAGGACACAACCCTATAGGACTGGTAAGTTACTGTCAGTGGGGAGGACACAACCCTATAGGACTGGTAAGTTACTGTCAGTGGGGAGGACACAACCCTATAGGACTGGTAAGTTACTGTCAGTGGGGAGGACACAACCCTATAGGACTGGTAAGTTACTGTCAGTGGGGAGGACACAACCCTATAGGACTGGTAAGTTACTGTCAGTGGGGAGGACACAACCCTATAGGACTGGTAAGTTACTGTCAGTGGGGAGGACACAACCCTATAGGACTGGTAAGTTACTGTCAGTGGGGAGGACACAACCCTATAGGACTGGTAAGTTACTGTCAGTGGGGAGGACACAACCCTATAGGACTGGTAAGTTACTGTCAGTGGGGAGGACACAACCCTATAGGACTGGTAAGTTACTGTCAGTGGGGAGGACACAACCCTATAGGACTGGTAAGTTACTGTCAGTGGGGAGGACACAACCCTATAGGACTGGTAAGTTACTGTCAGTGGGGAGGACACAACCCTATAGGACTGGTAAGTTACTGTCAGTGGGGAGGACACAACCCTATAGGACTGGTAAGTTACTGTCAGTGGGGAGGACACAACCCTATAGGACTGGTAAGTTACTGTCAGTGGGGAGGACACAACCCTATAGGACTGGTAAGTTACTGTCAGTGGGGAGGACACAACCCTATAGGACTGGTAAGTTACTGTCAGTGGGGAGGACACAACCCTATAGGACTGGTAAGTTACTGTCAGTGGGGAGGACACAACCCTATAGGACTGGTAAGTTACTGTCAGTGGGGAGGACACAACCCTATAGGACTGGTAAGTTACTGTCAGTGGGGAGGACACAACCCTATAGGACTGGTAAGTTACTGTCAGTGGGGAGGACACAACCCTATAGGACTGGTAAGTTACTGTCAGTGGGGAGGACACAACCCTATAGGACTGGTAAGTTACTGTCAGTGGGGAGGACACAACCCTATAGGACTGGTAAGTTACTGTCAGTGGGGAGGACACAACCCTATAGGACTGGTAAGTTACTGTCAGTGGGGAGGACACAACCCTATAGGACTGGTAAGTTACTGTCAGTGGGGAGGACACAACCCTATAGGACTGGTAAGTTACTGTCAGTGGGGAGGACACAACCCTATAGGACTGGTAAGTTACTGTCAGTGGGGAGGACACAACCCTATAGGACTGGTAAGTTACTGTCAGTGGGGAGGACACAACCCTATAGGACTGGTAAGTTACTGTCAGTGGGGAGGACACAACCCTATAGGACTGGTAAGTTACTGTCAGTGGGGAGGACACAACCCTATAGGACTGGTAAGTTACTGTCAGTGGGGAGGACACAACCCTATAGGACTGGTAAGTTACTGTCAGTGGGGAGGACACAACCCTATAGGACTGGTAAGTTACTGTCAGTGGGGAGGACACAACCCTATAGGACTGGTAAGTTACTGTCAGTGAGGAGGATACAACCCTATAGGACTGGTAAGTTACTGTCAGTGAGGAGGACACAACCCTATAGGACTGGTAAGTTACTGTCAGTGGGGAGGACACAACCCTATAGGAATGGTAAGTTACAGTCAGTGGGGAGGACACAACCCTATAGGACTGGTAAGTTACAGTCAGTGAGGAGGACACAACCCTATAGGACTGTTAAGTTACTGTCAGTGAGGAGGACACAACCCCATAGGACTTGTAAGTTACTGTCCGTGGGGAGGACACAACCCTATAGGACTTGATGTTACTGTCATCTATAGTGAACTCACGTAAGTTACTGTGAGGGGGGAGGATACAGTGGGGAGGACACAACCCTATTGGACTAGTAAGTTACTGTCAGTGGGGAGGACACAATCCTATAGGACTGGTAAGTTACTGTCAGGGAGGAGGACACAACCCTATAGGACTGGTGAGTTACTGTCAGTGGGGAGGACACAACCAGGACACAACCCTATAGGACTGGTAAGATACTGTCAGTGGGGAGGACACAACCCTATTGGACTAGTAAGTTACTGTCAGTGGGGAGGACACATCCCTATAGGACTGGTAAGTTACTGCCAGTGGGGAGGATACAACCCCATAGGACTGGTAAATTACTGTCCGTGGGGAGGACACACCCCTATAGGACTGGTAAGTTACTGTCATTGGGGAGGACACAACCCTATAGGACTGTTAAGTTACTGTCAGTGAGGAGGACACAACCCTATTGGACTGGTAAGTTACTGTCAGTGGGGAGGGCACAACCCTATAGGACTGGTAAGTTACAGTCAGTGAGGAGGACACAACCCTATAGGAATGGTAAGTTACTGTTAGTGGGGAGGACACAACCCTATAGGACTGGTCAGTTACTGTCAGTGGGGAGGATACAACCCTATATGACTGGAAAGTTACAGTCAGTGGGGAGGACACAAACCTATAGGACTGGTAAGTTACTGTCAGCGGGGAGGACACAACCCTATAGTTACTGTCAGTGAGGAGGACACAACCCCATAGGACTTGTAAATTACTGTCCGTGGGGAGTACACAACCCTATAGGACTGGTAAGTTCCTGTCAGGGGGGAGGACACAACCCTATAGGACTGGGTAAGTTACTGTCAGTGAGGAGGACACAACCCCATTGGACTTGTAAATTACTGTCCGTGGGGAGTACACAACCCTATAGGACTGGTAAGTTACTGCCAGTGGGGAGGATACAACCCCATAGGACTGGTAAGTTACTGAGTTACTGTGAGGGGGGAGGATACAACCCTATAGGAATGGTAAGCCTATAGGACTGGTAAGTTACTGTCAGGGAGGAGGACACAACCCTATAGGACTGGGAAGTTACTGTCAGTGGGGAGGACACAACCATATAGGACTGGTAAGTTACTGTCAGTGCGGAGGATACAACCCTATAGGACTGGTAAGTTGCTGTGAGGGGGGAGGATACAACCCTATTGGACTGGTAAGTTACTGTGAGTGAGGAGGACACAACCTTATAGGACTGGTAAGTCACTGTCAGTGAGGAGGACTCAACCCTATAGGACTGGTAAGTTACTGGCAGTGGGGAGGACACAACCCTATAGGAATGGTAAGTTACTGTCAGTGGTGAGGACACAGCCCTATAAGACTGGTAAGTTACTGTCAGTGGGGAGGGCACAACCCTATAGGACTGGTAAGTTACTGACACAACCCTATAGGACTAGTAAGTTACTGTCAGTGAGGAGGACACAACCCCATAGGACTGGTAAGTTACTGAGTTACTGTGAGGGGGGAGGATACAACCCTATAGGAATGGTAAGTTACTGTTAGTGGGGAGGACACAACCCTATAGGACTGGTAAGTTACTGTCAGTGAGGAGGACACAACCCCATAGGACTTGTAAATTACTGTCCGTGGGGAGGACACAACCCTATAGGACTGGTAAGTTACTGTCAGTGGGGAGGATACAACCCCATAGGACTGGTAAGTTACTGTGAGGGGGGAGGATATAACCCTATAGGACTGGTAAGTTACTGTGAGGGGGGAGGATACAACCCTATAGGACTGGTAAGTCACTGTCAGTGAGGAGGACACAACCCTATAGGACTGGTAAGTTACTATCAGTGGGGAGGACACAACCCTATAGGACTGGTAATTTACTGTCAGCGAGGAGGACACAACCCTATTGGACTGGTAAGTCACTGTCGGTGGGGAGGACACAACCCTATTGGACTGGTAAGTTACTGTCAGTGGGGAGGACACAACCCTATAGGACTGGTAAGTTACTATCAGTGGGGAGGACACAACCCTATAGGACTGGTAAGTTACTGTCAGCGAGGAGGACACAACCCTATTGGACTGGTAAGTCACTGTCAGTGGGGAGGACACAACCCTATTGGACTGGTAAGTTACTGTCAGTGGGGAGGACACAACCCTATAGGACTGGTAAGTTACTGTCAGTGAGGAGGACACAACCCTATGGGACTAGTAAGTTACTATCAGTGGGGAGGACACAACCCTATAGGACTGGTAAGTTACTGTCAGAAAGGAGGACACAACCCTATAGGACTGGTAGGTTACTGTCAGGGGGGAGGACACAACCCTATTGGACTGGTAAGTTACTGTCAGTGGGGCGGACACAACCTTATAGGAATGGTAAGTTACTGTCAGTGGGGAGGATACAACCCTATAGGACTGTTAAGTCACTGTCAGTGAGGAGGACACAACCCTAAAGGACTGGTAAGTCACTGTCAGTGAGGAGGACACAACCCTAAAGGACTGGTAAGTCACTGTCAGTGAGGAGGACACAACCCTAAAGGACTGGTAAGTCACTGTCAGTGAGGAGGAAACAACCCTATAGGACTGGTAAGTTACTGTAAGTGGGGAGGACACAACCCTATAGGCCTGGTAAGTTACTGTCAGTGGGGAGGTCACAACCCTATAGGACTGGTGAGTTACTGTCAGTGGGCAGGACACAACCCTATAGGACTGGTAACTTACTGTCATTGGGGAGGACACAACCCTATAGGACTAGTAAGTTACTGTCATTGGGGAGGACACAACGCTATAGGACTGGTAAGTTACTGTGAAGGGGGAGGACACAACCCTATAGGACTGTTAAGTTACTGTCAGTGAGGAGGACACACCCCTATAGGACTGGTAAGTCACTGTCAGTGGGGAGGACACAACCCAATAGGACTGGTAAGTTACTGTCAGTGGGGCGGACACAACCCTATAGGACTGGTAAGTTACTGTGAGGGGGGAGGACACAACCCTATAGGACTGGTGAGTTACTGTCAGCGAGGAGTACACAACCCTATAGGACTGGTAAGTTACTGTGAGGGGGGAGGACACAACCCTATAGGACTGGTAGTTACTGGGGGGGGGGAGGACACAACCCCATAGGACTGGTGAGTTACTGTCAGCGAGGAGGACACAACCCTATAGACTGGTAGGTTACTGTCAGTGGGGAGGACACAACCCTATTGGACTGGTAAGTTACTGTCAGTGGGGAGGATACAACCCTATAGGACTGGTAAGTTACTGTGAGGGGGGGGGGCACAACCCTATAGGACTGGTAAGTTACTGTGAAGGGGGAGGACACAACCCTATAGGACTGGAAAGTTACTGTCAGTGGGGAGGATACAACCCTATAGGACTGGTAAGTTACTGTCTGCGAGGAGGACACAACCCTATAGGACTGGTAAGTCACTGTCAGTGGGGAGGACACAACCCTATAGGAATGGTAAGTTACTGTCAGTGGGGAGGACACAGCCCTATAAGACTGGTAAGTTACTGTCAGTGGGGAGGACACAACCCTATAGGACTTGATGTTACTGTCATCTATAGTGAACTCACTTTAGTAATGTGTATTGGGCATGTGTAAAGAAACAAGAAGCTACGATGCCCGTGTCTGGAAGATTATGATACAACCTACCAGTTTCCTTTGGTTGGACCAGAGCAACTGGTGGTCCTTTGTGATTGTGAATTATTTGAAAGAAAGGCAGTGATTGGTTGTTGTTTACCAGCATGTGTAAACTCATTAGGTGTAAGAGCCTGACTATGGTAAATGGCTGTTGATTGAACTCTCCCTTAGTAATATATATATAGCCGAATAAGCGCATACACTATCTTACTCTCTAAAAACTGTTCTTGCACTATCCAAAACTAATGTCACTATTTGAGTATCAGGTTAAGATTAGAGCTGACAGGTATTTTACAAACTGAAATGAATTCTGTGGGGTTTTTTTTTAGATAGGAGGGGCCACTGCTATGGTTGGGGACCCAAGTGGTAAGACCAAAGACAGAAACCCGATGAATGTGGCGGAGGTTGAGAAAAACATGGAATCCATCGCAAAAAGTCTGCAGAGGATATTTGACAATCACAGCCAATATATGTGGAAGGAAGATAGGGAGCTCCCTCCACTACAGTAAGTATGAGTGTCTCCGGGACCAAACCAGACCACACTCTTTCCCTAGTGATGGGCCATAAGGACCCCTGTCCCACTGGACTGTGGTGGTTCCTGAATACAGTTAATAAATAATAATAATATACAACATTTATATAGCACCCTATATAATTTGTAAAATTACTCTAAGGCGCTTTACAACATATGGTTAATAGTAAGGGTTATAATTGTGAAAACAAACAACAAGTTACCTCCCCTTAACTTCTGTTTGGCTATAACAGTACAGTGGGTCAGTAGAATTCTGTTGACCAGCTGGCTCAGACAGTCAGAGGGATAATAAAAGTAGATATAACAATCTGAGGTCAAGGGTTTGAATCCCAGTCTAGCCCTGCTAGTGTTTTCATTCAGAACACTTGTAATGGTTATTTTTGTTTAAGTCATGCAAGGTATGATTTTCTTTTGAGAAATGATTTATCAAAGCTATAGTCCTGCCAGAAAACAGTTGCCAGTAACTAGTTACAGTTTCTGGCAGTGATACGGGGTTCCTTCAAATCATATTCCATATTCATTGTATTTCTAAACACTTTCTTCAGGTTGGTAAGTATCAATTGTGAAAATAACAACGAATTGTACGTACGCTTACAGCATAGCCGAATCGACATTTATTTGCGTGGACAACTCGTACACATATTATACCTTGGTGTACATATGCTTCCTTGGTCATTTGTCTGATGAAGGTGACAGAGTACATATCGTACAAGTCATCAAAACATCACATAAAAACACTTATTGGTTGTACTACATGAATCTTTTCACAATTTTTATTGTGACTTGAAGTAGTAAACCAATTGATGATCAATTGCATAGTTGGTTTTTACAATCTTTTTGGACTGAATATTTCAATGAAATAACAACAATATTTCTGTATCAATAGACAAAGTTTACTATTTTGGGTTTTGATTTCTTGTACTGATGGATGACAAGCAATTTTTTTTATTTATTTTTTACACATTACCATAAATTTATAATAAAAAAAACTTTTTTCTATGCATGCTGTACATTTTATACACAAATTTGACACTTGAGTTCAGTACTGAACCAATTATGTTGATTAAGAAATTTTCAATTGCAGATAATCGAAAATGGAAAGAAAGAAAATGACCAATTTGTTTTCACTAAAATTGATCATCAACTCATTACTGTCTTTTCCTACCAAAGGAAATTTAAACATCATAATATAAATTTGGTTTTGATATGAACTTAAACAATAGTTTCTAACATTTCTATAAAAATCTTGCTTCTAGTGAAATAAACTCGCTGTACCCATCGATCTGCCCGAAGTTATTAGTGGTATAACAAGGAGGAATATAGGTTTGCATTCCGTCTGTCAAACTTGTCAACTTTTTGAAATTTTCATGGGGGAGATTCACCTGCTTAAAATTAAAAGCAAAAATATAATATGTGTATGTACATCCTATGGAAAAAATTACAGTACTTCCAGATGACATCTTTTGAGCTGTTCTTTCAGATGAAATCATCAGATCTTAGAAAATAAGAATGCACTGGTTGAAAATGCCCACTTTTGGGGTTCAAAATAGAGAGTCTCCCTCCTAAATACTACCGGTTGGCAGGTATGGCCTGTTTAAGTTTTGATGTTCAACAAGCGTGAAGTGAGTAATATTTCACATTCACCAGTATTTTAATTTCTATTTGTTGACTGTATTTGTAAATATTCCTTCAATTTCAGAATTTTAAACAACGCTGACTGGTACCGAGACATCAACGTTATTAGTTTCCTCGCCACTGTGGGACGCCGATTTCGACTTGGTCAAATGTTATCACGTCAAAGGTAAACAACGAATGTACCATTCTAAGTTAATAATATCAAACAATAGTTTCATGAATAACAGGATCTGTCGGGGATTACTTTAATTTGAATTAGATCAGACTCTCAGCCTTGTTAGGGTTTACTTGTGTCAAACTTTTATCTGAATCAGACTGAACTGTTGTGTCTGGCTGTAATACACTGTATATATGAATCAGACTGAACTGTTGTGCCTGGCTGTAATACACTGTAAATGCCGTTCAGCTAAAACAACACCCAACTGCTGAAGCAAGTTGATTACATTTGAGAACTTACTCTATTAATATTGGAAACTAGATATTACTTTCAACAAGTCATTTCAATCTGAGATATCCCCTCTGTAATTGAACTCCAATTGAAAAATGAGATATTATTATACAGATGTATCTTTGATTTAAGTTTGTGTGGAATTGGGGTAGTGTTTCAGCGAGACTGAAGTCGTCGGAGGGGATGAGTTTCACAGAGTTCAGCTATCAGATCTTACAGTCCTATGATTGGCTACACCTCTGTCGCAATCACAAATGTTCAATACAGATTGGAGGGAATGACCAGCTGGGAAATATTACGTCTGGGTTCGATCTCATCTGCGCAGAAACGGAGGAACGTGTATGGGGTATGTTGGCTGCTGTCAATACTTAATTAAAGAGCTCAGTTCTGAATATTTTTGATCTGATTGACTTGAAAATAAAAAAAAAAAATCTTTCAATTTTGAGGTTTTATGCGGACAATGCAGTCTTGAAAATATATTTTCAATCTCTAAATTTTGAAAAGAAATAATGATTCGCATAGATATTGGATCTATATTTTAAAGACTATCATTTCTGTTAATGATATTTGACTATTAATATATCTTTTTTACTTCCTCAAATCTCAAAAATAATACTCTCAAACCTCCTAAATAACACGACCTCAAACGACCAAAATAACACTTTCCTAAAACCTCCAAAATAATACTACCTCAAAACATTAAAATAGCACTACCTCAAACCTTCAAAATATCACTACCTCAAACCTCCTAAAAAACACTACCTCAAACCTCCAAATTAATACTACTGCAAAACATCAAAATAACACCACATCAAACCTCCAAAATAACACTTCATCAAATTTCAAAAACAACACTTTCCTCAAACTTCTAAAATAAAATTTTCCTCAAACCTCCAAAATAACACTACCTCAAAACTCCAGAATTCCAATCCGACATGCTTTGTGAGTATTTTGTTTATAAGTATTTGTTATTGATGGGTCAGGTCTTACCGTTCCGTTGATAACAACAGCTGGCGGGGAGCTATAAGTATGTGTTATTGTTGGTACAGGACTTACCGTTCCATTGATAACAACAGTTGGCGGGGAGATATAAGTATGTGTTATTGTTGTTACAGGTCTTACCGTTCCGTTGATAACAACAGCTGGCGGAGAGATATAAGTATATGTTATTGTTGGTACAGGTCTTACCGTTCCATTGATAACAACAGCTGGCAGTGAGATATAAGTATGTGTTATTGTTGGTACAGGTCTTACCGTTCCGTTGATGACAACAGCTGGCGGGGAGATATAAGTATGTGTTATTGGCGGTACAGGTCTTACCGTTCCATTGATAACAACAGTTGGCGGTGAGATATAAGTATGTGTTATTTGTCGGTACAGGTCTTACCGTTCCGTTGATTACAACAGCTGTTGAGGAGATATAAGTATGTGTTATTGTTGGTACAGGTATTACCGTTCCATTGATAACAACAGCTGGCAGTGAGATATAAGTATGTGTTATTGTTGGAACAGGTCTTACCGTTCCATTGATAACAACAGCTGGCAGTGAGATATAAGTATGTGTTATTGTTGGAACAGGTCTTACCGTTCCATTGATAACAACAGCTGGCAGTGAGATATAAGTATGTGTTATTGTTGGAACAGGTCTTACCGTTCCATTGATAACAACAGCTGGCAGTGAGATATAAGTATGTGTTATTGTTGGTGCAGGTCTTACCGTTCCATTGATAACAACAGCTGGCAGTGAGATATAAGTATGTGTTATTGTTGGAACAGGTCTTACCGTTCCGTTGATAACAACAGCTGGTGAGGAGATAGAAGTATGTGTTATTGTTGGTACAGGTCTTACCGCTCCATTGATAACAACAGCTGGCGGGGAGATATACGTATGTGTTATTGTTGGTACAGGTCTTACCGTTCCATTGATAACAACAGTTGGCGGGGAGATATAAGTATGTGTTATTTGTCGGTACAGGTCTTACCGTTCCGTTGATAACAACAGCTGTTGAGGAGATATAAGTATGTGTTATTGTTGGTACAGGTCTTACCGTTCCGTTGATAACAACAGCTGGTGGGGAGATATAAGTATGTGTTATTGTTGGTACAGGTCTTACCGTTCCGTTGATAACAACAGCTGGCGGGGAGATATAAGTATGTGTTATTGTTGGTACAGGTCTTACCGTTCCGTTGATAACAACAGTTGGCGAGGAGATATAAGTATGTGTTATTGTCGGTACAGGTCTTACCGTTCCGTTGATAACAACAGCTGGTGGGGAGATATAAGTATGTGTTATTGTTGGTACAGGTCTTACTGTCCCGTTGATAACAACAGCTGGCGAGGAGATATAAGAATGTGTTATTGTTGGTACAGGTCTTACCGTCCCGTTGATAACAACAGATGGCGGGGGGATATAAGTATGTGTTATTGTTGGGACAGGTCTTACAGTCCCGTTGATAACAACAGCTAGCGAGGAGATATAAGAATGTGTTATTGTTGGTACAGGTCTTACCGTTCCGTTGATAACAACAGCTGGCGAGGAGATATAAGAATGTGTTATTGTTGGTACAGGTCTTATCGTCCCGTTGATAACAACAGCTGGCGGGGAGATATAAGTATGTGTTATTGTTGGTACAGGTCTTACCGTTCCGTTGATAACAACAGCTGGCGGGGAGAAGATTGGAAAAACTGCTGGCAATGCTTTATGGCTGAACCCAGACCAAACCTCACCTTTTCATTTCTATCAAGTAAGTATAGGTATGGCCATCATTTTCTGTTTATTGCAATATCAACGGTATGGCTAGATGTATAAGTCAACCATTTTGACTTACTCCTACAATAGAGTTGATGGAGTTTAGGGTTTGTCTTCTCTGTCAGTTGGTCTATCTGTCAGTTGTCTATCTGTCAGTTGGTCTATCTGTCAGTTGGTCTATCTGTCAGTTGATTATCTGTCTATCCGTTTGTACGACATCCCATTACACTATGTGTAGCTCGTTATCTCTTATACTGTTCAACATTCATCAAACTTCATATGTAGATACAATTTTCTCGCAACTCAGACAGAGAGATCCCACGTCATACCCTGAGCTGGATTTTGTGTCTTGTCCAATCTGTCTGGTACCTTCGCGTGACATTTCCCGGAATTTTTACACAGCGATGTATTCATCCGCGACTCAACAAGTTGATATTGATGATCTGTATTTTAGATATTCTGTTTTGTTGTTATATGTATTGATTTCATGTTGTTAGATTCCTGATGTTGTAGATAAAATATAATTTACACTGTGCAAATACATGTACGTGTCTTCTTTGAAAGGACTTCATTTTTACGCGGAAGCATTGAAACGTAGCTTTCGTAGTAAATAGGTCATATCTATTCCAGGCTCCAGATGGGATACTTGTAGACTTAAGCAAAATTTAATATATTTCGGATTAAAAGGTGCGAGAAAAAATCTATTACCTGTAACTGAGCGAGATCAGGGTAAGATTCTGTAACATCCCAACCTCGGCTAACACCTCGGTTAGGATTATGTTTCATAATTCTAGCCCTAGACTGAGATAACCCGATCTCGCTCAGTAACAGGGAATAGATTTTATTAGTACATCTTGAGGTGTACTATCCAAATGTAAAATTGCAGGTCACTTTGACCTATACTTTACACTTAACTAACGAAATCTATCTACATTTAGCGCCATTTCTTTGGTCAGACTTTTCGTCCGGCAGCATATTTCACCACAGTGGGAGTGAGAGCATGTCTGTGTTTAACAGAAATATGTTTAGGCCAAAACATCATTTATGTGTGTTTCAGGTATTATAACATGCCAGACAAAAATAGGGTAGGTCGGTGGGTGAATAACTTCAATTGTTTTAATTTTTCTCGATCAGTATTAGCTATATATCAAATTTTACAATGCATTAATTCCACACATTACATATGGCTGTTTATTTGTCAAGGTTAGGGTCAGAGTGCCAGAACAGGTAGAAAGTACCATATAATGAGTGACAGTGAAGTATTGCATGTCTTACTGAATAATCTAGGATGACACTTAGTGATCAAATGTCCTAGGGTTGGCAGGAAAATCTATTAGGGTAGGGTAGGATACCTTCAGAACACATACTTTGGGGGTTTTATGCTTTAGCATCAGAAGAGTCAAATCTTATCTTCTATTTATCAATTTACCGCCACTTTATATTGTTCTGTTTTCTGTTTAAAACATTTCTAACATTATGACCAGATGTGAAACAGCTGTTAACAATTTTGCTGTCCACTATCTATCAAGGTTGTCCCTTCACCCAGCTGTATTTCTGATTTTACTGAAGTGTTGTGAATGTTTTAAATTGAAGATAACAGCCTGCATGAGTATTCTAATTTCGCTCTTTTTTTGTCTTTGTTAGTTTTTTATCAATCGGACAGACAACGAAGTTGAGAAGTACCTCAAACTGTTTACCTTCATGTCGGACGATCAGATCAGCGCAGCCATGAAGAAACATAACGTAAGGTTACAAACATTGTTACTTCACCTATATAACAGTGTACCTGGTAGGACTGAGCTGATCACACCTATATAACAGTGTACCTGGTAGGACTGAGCTGATCACATATATATAACAGTGTATCTGGTAGGACTGTGCTGATCATATCTATATAACAGTGTATCTGGTAGGACTGTGCTGATCACATCTATAAAACAGTGTACCTGGTAGGACTGAGCTGACCACATCTATATAACACTGTATCTGGTAGGACTGTGCTGATCACATCTATATAACAGTGTACCTGGTAGGACTGAGCTGACCACATCTATATAACAGTGTATCTGGTAGGACTG